ATGTTTTTCAAATCAATTCCTTTGCTATAAGCATAACAAATTACTAATCAGATACTTTACAGAACATACCTCTCCAAAAATTGTCCAAACCTATTTGAATACCCCATTCAAAAAGTATATGATTTGACAGAATACAATACATATGTTACTTTTATCCAATCATGTGCATCGTTTCAAAAACAACTATCATGTCACTCTTGCGACACATTTTTGATAGAGGGCGCAAGTCGAAAAACGCATACAGGGCCTGTTTCTTTAATAATCAAACAGAGTCTTGCCCCTGTGAATGTAGGTTAATTATGTGAGCACCCTCCCCCCGCGTGTGTTCAACCCATCTGACAAAATGAATGGTGAGGGTGGAATGGAAGGATCCTAACCACCAGGTGATCGATGGTGGTCAACCAGACTGGAACTTGCTTGTGTTTTATTGTTAAGTACACTGGGATGTCTAGATAGTTTCAGACATGCCTGTATGACCAACGAAACACATCTAGTGTGCAGTGTTGTGTGTAGTACCTGAGCTCATTTTTGCAGCTGGTTTATGTCAATCACTATTTGTTTGTCTGAGAGGCAGAAGACTGAAATGTACACATCTATTTCCATCCCTAGGTGAGTTAGACATCTGGTTATCCTTATTCGGAATTACCTTTGCTGACTACAAATCATATTGATCTCAGGAGTTTGAGTTAGAGTGTGAGTTAGAGTGTGTACTGATAAGTTTTTCACTGATGAAGAAACAATCCGTCAATGGATGGGTAGATGAAAATGTTGAAAATGAAGTTGGACTACCTACTTCTAAACACTAGAGCAGCTGAGCAGAGACCAAACAGAAGTATGGGACACCATGCCATCTACTGCGAATCTCAAAAGGGGTTGGCTGAGTGTGTATATATAGGTACGCATCCTTCAATGCAGGTTTGGCCTGACACACCATCTGACACACTGTTGTAATGTTGTCTGTGACCATCTGGAAAGACTGTGGGACAACAAATTGATTCAGATATGACAAAGTCTACCACTGCTCATTAGAATTAGGAACAGGTAAGCGTAAAAACAGGATCGGTGATCATGCAGATTGTGATCACTCCTTTCAACAGCTGACAGGCTACTTCTGTTTGGATTGCCTTTGCCTTGACAACTGTTGTTGATGTTTGTGTGGAGGGAAGGTGAAAAGATGTGATATCTGCAATTGACTACTGAGAATGAAAATTGGCCTGTAACTGATTTCCTACTCGTGACCGTATCTAGAATGCTACTGGAAACAACAGTTTCGGGAACGATTTTTCAGTTATAAATCAAAATGCCCAGATTATCATGACAGGTCGCCCTGATACGGTCCAATGGATTAGATTTTGGTAGAGACTCGGATGTAGTTGCCATTGAAACAACAATTTAGGGAATTGTTTTTATTTAAAACTCAAATGATCATCGGATTTTCAAGAAATAATCACAAGGTTGTCCCTAAGCCATTACATTTTGATATCAATTATAGTAGCAAACAATTATATGTATAAGAGATTTGGATCGGGTTGTCAGGGATACAGCAATTTCAGGAATGATCAACTATTTTATAACTCAAATATTATAAATAGATTATCATAACATTTTCAGAAGGGCACAATCGGTAAGAGGCTGCTTAAGATCTCAATCGAGATGCAATTTTCAATGACTAACTAAAACAGTTAATGAACAAAACTATTCAGTTTTTATTAAATAGGTGTTGCCCTTCAAACATTAACAAAGTGAATATATTTTCGAAAATCTTTAGATCTAGTTGCTTTAGGGATATTTTTCAAAGGTTCTGCAGACGGGGTCATCCGCAGAACAAACATACAAGACTCAATTTGGTCTTTCTATTCAAAAAGAAATTAGAAGCTTACGCAAAGTTGATTAATAGGATTGAGGTATAGGTATTAGTGAGAATATGTAATTTGTATCTACATGTATGGTGGCCAGCATGAAATGGGGCTGGGACCCACTGGGCATCCCTAAATCACCAAGACCATTTTGTTGACTGCTTACAAGGTACGTGTCCGATCCAATCTTCCTCTCCTAATTTTGACTCAATGCTGCCTCATAACAAATCTACCAAAAATCTGGAGAGCTGCTCTAATTTGGGAGCATGTTTTTCATTATTAAACTAATCACATCTATGAACCAAATTTCAATGAAATGTGATGATTATGCAATTAGTATGCTCGAATTTAAATCCAAAACTAATACATTGATCCCATGCACTTGTATTGTTTTTCAAAATAAATTGGGTGATTATTATGCAAATTAAGTAATTATTATGTCATTGATTTCAATCTCAAACTGATTTAATATGTGTATTGTTCCATGGCTAATATTGACCAAGTTTCATTATAATGTGATAATTAATTCCTATGCAAATTAAGGAATCATTATGGATAACAACCCAAAACTAATTAGTTGCACTGTCTGTTTATGTGCCAAGATTCATTGACAAGTTAAGTACTTGAGACATCGCTGGAAAATCTGAAAAATTATGATGAATTGTTATACAAATTAGTTAATTAATATGCACTGATTTTTACACAAAACTTATCAGGTCTGTGCACAGTCCTAGAGCATCTAAGTATTAAGTTTTATTGGAATGTAATGATAAGTACTTGAATATCAGTGGAAAAGCCGAAAATGTACTAATCATGCAAATTAGGTAATTATTAGATATGGGTATTAGCCAAAAACTGTGCATTGTCCTATGACATCTATGTACCTACGTTCATTGCAATGCAACGATTAGTACTTGAGGTCTCAGTGGAAAAGCAAAAATTGACTAATCATTAATGCAATTAATTATGCATGGTTTTTACCTAAAACTAATCATTAAAAGGTTTCATTAAAATAAAATCAGTGGAACAGCTAAAAATTAGCTAATTATCATGCAAATTAGGTAATTAATAAGCATGGATTTAAGCCCAGAGTATGTATGCTTCAAGTTTCATCAAAAATCAACATGTGGTTCTTGAGATATCAGTGAAACAGGCAGACCCACAATCATCACAATAATTAAAACAATATACAACTAATTTAAAGTAATGAAAGGTTTATTGCAAAAATATGCATTTTTTTAAATATTTATAAATACATGTTTATTACTACATCTACAGTACAAGGCCATTCTAACACCACATTGGGTGAACTAGCACTGATGATCAAAGAGGATCTTCAAGGGTTGTTAGTTGTCATGCACGCATGCGCAAGATATTGGTCTCCTATAAACAAAGATGACGATTTTGATTGTTACACACACCTTGCATGTACAAACTGAGAGGTTACCAAGCTTTAATTAGATAATTTATTGGTATTTGGAATATCAAAAGAGTGGCCAGCTGTAATTAGTGCAAGTGGCGCCCAAGGAAAAACTCATACTCATGATTTCATTAAAAAAGCGCATTGGATTGTGGGAAAATCAATGTTTATCAACACAAATGTCGCACATGTGCGGCTCAAAGACTATCGGCCTTTAACATTTTTTCTACATACTTCATCTGCAAATTTTCTCTGCAATGTTTGTCACTGGGGCAGTCACTGTTTTAGATGTATTGCACTGCTTTTGAACCATAAATTTGCCAAAAAAATGTACACTTCTCATAATCACATGTTCGTAATTATATACTTTCATAAGGTTGCAAAATCGAAAATCAAGTCTTCATATGATGAGATATTAATCAAAATGTACAACAGTATACTCCAAACCAGAGAATTAAACAACCAAATAATGATGCTAAATTAAGAAACATATAATTTTATGCTTAAATAACCTAGTAACACAGTTGAGAAACTCCCTAGTGTAAAAGCTATTGCTCTAAAAATTAAAAAAAGCTTCAAATGGGTTTCAGTTCTCTTCCATAAATACGTACAAACGTCCACTGGCATTGCCACCAACTAGAAGATTTCTAGTTGGATGAAAAGCATTGATGCAACAAACAGAACACAGATGGTCTTCATCTAGAAAGTTGTGAATGTTGTGACTCCAATCATTGTATATCTGGATCTAATAAACAAAAAAAGAGAGAAGAGGAAACAATTTTTCAAATCTCAATTTAATATAATAATATTTGTCTTTTTTCCAATTATTGCAGTAGCACAATCACAGGGCAAATTTTAAAAAGGAATTGTAAATTAGGAACTATGAATTAGGAATAGTGTTAATAATGATATATGCCATAATGGTAGGAATGCAGCCCTGTCATGAAGTCCCAAAATTGAAATAGGTTATAATGTGGCAAAGTGCACAGTTACTATTCGTTATGTGGAATGAGTAGTATCTTCTTTCGCACATTCCCAGTCACCAACATATTGTCATAAAACCTGGATAGTTGAGACAAATATTTATACGAGATGATTTAACTTCTTGAAAGAACAAGCTGCTTTAAGATTGGCTTGACTGTTAGGTGTTAGGGTTGTGTAACCAATCATCAAGTCACACCTACATTGTACATGTAGTATTCAGGAGCTAGCAAAACAATGGTCTGATCCGCATGTCACCATTCAATTACAGGAAACCAATCAATCATGCCCTCATTCTAAAACAACTGCTGATTGGTCATTTGGCTATTATTCATGAATGAATCAATTACAGGCTTCGTCAGTGTATTTTGCTAAAGTATCTTTGGCGTGTAATGAAAAATCAATCAAAGCTTTGGAAAAACTCATTTTCTGAGGATATTCGCAATAGTGATTAATACATTTCAGTTTAGCATAAGCATAATTAGGTCACATGACCACATTTGGTCATTTACGGTCACTCATATTTCTTGTGAAATGTCTCCAATATAGCACTAGCTGCATGTCCTTATCTGCAATACTGCTTTTGGATATTAGTTATGCATATTTAAGTCACATGACCCCATTTATTCAAAGATTTTAACACTGAAGTAATCAGATTTGTGGATTATCAAAAAGCATGTATGTACCAAGTTTAATACAAATTTGATGAGTAGTATTCAAGATAACTGTGGAATACATATAAATTGCTTAATTTATGTAATTATTAGGTGAGAATGTACCAATGTTCAAATATAAAGACATGCTTATTTATTTCTAACATAAATATTATTGTTTATATTATATTTATTATTGATAAACCAGACTTGATACAGTTTATGATTGATTCTTCAAAGACGGTCCAATTAACACTTTTGAATGCCAAAATCAACATTTTAAAATAAACCCATTACATTTACTCATTTTTCAACAAGATCTGTAGCCATTTAGTCCAAAAATTGAAGAAGAAATTATAGAGAAATACATCCAAAAAAATGGCAAAAAAAATATAATTTGAAAAAGTTAAACATAAAATGGAGCTTTCTATTACTAGTTTCAAAACCCAAAAAAATTGTAATTGTCATTCCTGATATCATGTGATCTCACCTTTCTAGGTCGACTCAAAGCGCCAATAATGATGGCGTCTTCTCTACTAGGGTGCCATACAGCTCGGAATGGTGTAAGCCAGCGTCCTGTCTGGTTGTTATGTCTACAGAGCAGAGGATTAACAAATTACTGTAAAATGATTAATTTTCACTGGGTTTAAATTTTGCTGATTTACCATTTCAGGCATATTCAGTGGGTTTTAAATTCACGGTTTTATCATTTTGATAATGTGTTCTATACTAAATTTTACATATTCACTGGGTTTTAATTTAGCACATTTATCAGTCAGCAAAATAAGCAAAATTAAAACCCAGTGAATAATTTTAAAGTAACTGAGGTGATATTTTGACATTGTACATAGTAAAATAATACTTTACCTCACACACAATTGATATCGATTGAAACTTTTAGGCATTATTTATTTTTTGCCTCAAGTAATGCAAAAGTTTCAATCAATATATTGCAATCAATTAGGTATGAGGTAAGTATTTCTTAACACAGTAAAATTCAACCAAAAATATGGCTGAGATAGGCACACCACAACATACAACGACCATCATTCAATTCTCATTCATACATGAAAGTATACATGTGAACACAAATTTAGTTTTGAACTAAAACCATTAACTTCCGATTATCAGTAGACTACATTTTACTGATTAAAATCTGATTACTTCAGATCACCAGTAAATATCCAATTACAATTATTATACTTCAGATTACCAATAAATATTTGATCACAAGTAAACATAAGATAACCAGTAAATATCTGATTACAAGTAAACATAAGATTACCAGTAAATATCTGATTACAATTAAACATAAGATAACCAGCAAATATCTGATTACAAGTAAACATAAGATAACCAGTAAATATCTGATCACAAGTAAACATAAGATAACCAGTAAATATACGATTACAAGTAAACATAAGATAACCAGTAAATATCTGATTGCAAGTAAACATAAGATAACCAGTAAATATCTGATTACAAGTAAACATAAGATAACCAGCAAATATCTGATTACAAGTATTAAAACATAAGATAACCAGTAAATATCTGATCACAAGTAAACATAAGATAACCAGTAAATATACGATTACAAGTAAACATAAGATAACCAGTAAATATCTGATTGCAAGTAAACATAAGATAACCAGTAAATATCTGATTACAAGTAAACATAAGATAACCAGTAAATATCTGATTACAAGTAAACATAAGATAACCAGTAAATATCTGATTACAAATAAACATAAGATAACCAGCAAATATCTGATTACAAGTATTAAAACATAAGATAACCAGTAAATATCTGATCACAAGTAAACATAAGATAACCAGTAAATATACGATTACAAGTAAACATAAGATAACCAGTAAATATCTGATTGCAAGTAAACATAAGATAACCAGTAAA